ATACAATATACAATAAAAAGAAAAATATAAAATGAAAAATTTCTAAAGCCTGTAGTATCACCGGGAAAAGCAAGAGGACTCTTTTTTCCTCCATAGCTTACCTGTCTAATATCAATCTGTCAGGAGATAGTGACAGAGTGAACAAATATGTTAAAAATATATTTTTAGAAAAGTTACATACTGCACCTTTAAGAAACAGCTTCAAAATGACTGATATGGTGTTGAAATACTAATCTGCAGAGCAGTTAAACGGTCTTGTATCAAGGTGCACATCAAAGTTCCTCTGTTATCTGGCAGGATTTGCATTTTAGTCAAAGTGCGTCTGCGTGAGCTGCAGCAGCAGGCGCTGGCGTGGCCTCGGCTCGCCGTGTCTGTGCGGCTGGCCCGCGGTGCACACATGGCAAAAGCACGTGTGTCACTGTCGCTGGTGTGTCTCGACTCGCCCTCCCCGAGCCCACTCTGCTGAACCACACATCTAWAACATGCAGAAATGATACACAAATACTTGTGCGTGGAGATGACTCCGATGATGTAAYGGGGCTAACACTGACGAATTGAAACTGAGATCTCTGTAAACACGCTACCAAATCAGCTTATAGGTTTAAGCACGGTCGAGGCATACAGAGACATAAACAAACCCACACATACACACGGAGGATTAAAACTGTCTCTGCTCACCAGATGCTCATCACCATGGAGAATCAATACACTGTATTCACTCCACTGGTGATAGCTGTTTGTCAGTAATCAATCAGAAACTCTCAGAGCTGACTGAAGCAACTCTGATTTGCCCTCATAGAGCAAAAAATAAAGTTTCTTCATTTGGATACAAAAGCTTCTTCTTGAATCTGATATTAAATATATATGTGACCCATCATATCGAAACGAGGATTAWGTCAAATTTGGTCAAAATGACCTAATTTACATTTTCAGATTCCTGGTTTTAAATGCTATATTTTGATACCTGAATCATTCTGATATAATAAGTAAATCCATACATATGACTTAATTTGTCTTGTTGGTTACAATAATACATAAATATTTGGTCTGAATCCTAATTTTATGTCATTTTAATGAGGAATTTTTGACGTCCTTATAAAGAGGAAACCTCAAACTATATTTGAATATTGAGATTTCCCAGCTGAAAAGAAATAAAACACTGCTAACTCACATGGAAAATCTCAAAATTTTAAGGCATTTTTCCTCAAAATCGGGTTTTTGTTGCTACTGCTCAAAAATGCTTGAAAATTTTGTTTAATGACTATATTTCAGTTCATTTAAATAATACATTGATACGGCATTATTCATTATGTTTTGACAAAATGCAATTTTTGCGAACGTTTTCATCAAAACACTACATTTGCCTATTTCTCCGTATCCCACTTATACACAATCCTCGTTTTAATGTGATGGGTCACATATATTTGGAAGTTTTAGGCAATTACAAGCATTTCAGGCAGGAGCTGCTAGTGCTTAAAACAAAAGGAAAACTGCACAAAAAGGCACCACTAAAAACCCATTGTTGTCCCCTGATGGGACAGTGATGACGATGACGCAGGGCTTTGAAAAAATGTCAGCAAAAGCGACTCAAATCGGAGACGAGCGAGCAAAAACTCAACACAAAGACAGTCCTGCTTCYTCCCTGCCGAACACCTATCTGCGACCACGGCGTCGCCATGGTTACAAGCAGCCGTGGGTGGCTTAACCTGATAACACCTACAAGATGGCTTCACCTCCGCCCCACCACCCCCCCACTTCAGCCCACTTTTCATGTCACATCGCACCGACTTTCCCCGTCCACGCGGAGACGTCCGCATCCATCCGCTCTGTCTGCTCCGACACAGGCTCCGCCCCCCACCCAGCCGCTCTCTGTATCTGCACAGAGTACAGTAGAGCGATGCACAAGGTCAGAATACCAAGAGGCGCCGAGCCGAGCGCGGTTCAACGCGGCAGACGTCCTCCTCGGATCAGCCTCTGCAACGTGCCGTCGCAAACCGTATCTCATCTTTTTAATGGTTTTATTTTTCCAAGCAATTTTCTTCCTGTTCCTCAYTCTCAGACAGACAGGAAGCAAATGCATAAAAGAAGAGATATATGATCAATGCTGATGCTTCTCTGCTTCATGTAAGGGTTGATGTGTTGTGAGAAGATTTTCACACAAAACAAAAGCATCTGCTAAGTTGTATTCCAAACAGCATGTTAAGATGTTTACCATTACGTTATAATAACTGCACCTTATTTAGCCTTAATTAATCAATAATAAATGGATAATTAACCTAAAAACATCATTAATTAAGGATGATTAATACTGATAAATGAATGTTTTACCCATAAAGGTTAATTACTTCTAAAACCAACACACTCATTGTTGATTCAAGCTTAATTCATGAATTAAAATTGTGTATGCGCATACATTTGTACTTTAACACCATGTGTTTGGCATGTATTAATGTTTAGAGATGGTTTGAAATGACTATAATTTTGGTCTGATTTAAAGCTTATCGAGACTCATCCGTAATTATTTTTTTCCAAGGTTAACTAACCATTAATTAATGATTAAGTGAGGCTAAACAAGGGGAAAACTGATGAGCACCATTTTCCTTTCCTCGATACATCCTGTGATACAGGTTTATGTTGAATACAGTATATTGTCTAATTTCCTCTGTTCTCCCTGAGGGTCACTGCACCCCCTGCCTGAATTCTCTTCAGCAAAAAGGTTGTAATGAGGTTTCACTGCAACTCAAGAAAAGTATATTCAATTAGAATCTATTTTCTCTAATAAATACAGAAGCTTTAGGTACAGAGAAGGGCACCTCTTTGTGCTTAATCTCAGTGCGTGCATGCATTATATATATATA